GTCATCCCGCGGTCGTCGTCCGCGCGACGCGCCCGCGCGGTCGCTCGCGCGCGCGTCGACGGGAGATCTCTCTCTCTCTCTCGCGTCGTCGGTGTCGACGCGCGCGCGCGCGCGCAGGAGCGCGTTCTTCGCGCGCGCGCGGTCCGGGGGCGCCCCGGCGTTCGCGCGCGCTTTGTGCTTCGCGCGCGTGGGCATCGCGCGCGCGCGGAGGTGTGACGGGCGACGGGCGACGGAGGGCGACGACGCGGATGAGACGGGACGCGCGCGCGGGGCGAACGCGCGCGATTCGTGCGCGGGATGATTGAGTCGCGCGCGCGCACGGTGCGGTCGATCGTTACACGGGAACGGGACGCGGGCGAGGGAGGACGGCGGGGCGCGAGGTCGGCGCGTCGTCGTCGTCGGCGTCGGCGTCGTCGGCGGCTCAGAGGACGCCCGAGGCGACGATCTTGACCGGCGCCACCGGTCGATCGCCGCGCGCGGTGGGGTTGGATTCGATCGCGCGCACGACGTCCATGCCCTCGAGAACGTGTCCGAAGACGACGTGCTTGCCGTTTAACCACGGCGTCGCCGCCGTCGTGATGAAGAATTGCGACCCGTTCGTGTTCGGCCCCGCGTTCGCCATCGACAGCGTCCCCGGTCCCGCGTGCGGAATCGCGAACGTTTCATCGGCAAACTTCCCACCGTAAATCGATCGTCCCCCGCGGCCGTCGCCCCGTTCAAAGTCACCGCCCTGGAGCATGAAGTTTGGAATGACGCGATGAAAAATCGACCCTTCGTACCCGTATCCCTTCTCCCCCGTCGCCAAAGCCTTGAAATTCGCCACCGTGCGCGGGGCGTCGTCACCGAACAACCCTAAAACGATCCGTCCCGCGCGGGCGTCCCCGATATCGACGTCGAAGAAGACGCGATCCGTCGTCGCGCGCGCGCACCAATTCGTCGCCGCGTCGCACGTCTCATCCCCCCACGCGCGCGTCGCCGAGCCCATCGTCACCGACGCCGCGCTCAGGAGCGCGTCGCGGCGTCGCGTCGCCGCGATCGGGCGTGCGTTCGTCCGCGCGCGCGGCGTCGGGGCGTCGATCGGGGTCGTTGGGTCATCGTCGAATGCCATCATCGTCTCGCCGCGCCCTCGCCGCGGGACGACGCGTCGGGCGCGTCGCGCGCGCGCGCGGGCGTCGCGCGCATCGTCGTCGCGTCGTCGTCTGACGCGAGAGGGCTCGGTGGGCGATGGGGGGTGTACATATATAACATACATTTACGCCATCATGTGTGTCTCCACGGGATGCACACGCGGTCCGCTACACTGACGAAATGCCACGTGTATACGATGTATGTATACGTATACGACGTATTCATAAGAGTATGTAAACACACAGCGTGTCGTCACACGTATTGCGCGTGACGGAGACCCATGAAGATGCCTTCGGACGTCCCATCGCGCGAGACGCCGCGACGTCGACGCGGTGCGACGACGCCGCGACGCGCCACCGGACGCGACAACGCGCGCGTCGGGCGTCATGGAAATTCCCGCGCGTCCGGGCGCGCGCGCGCGCGGCGTCGGGGTCGCGCGCGCGCGGGAAAAGGCGATGATGACGCGAATGACGACGCGCGCGCGCGCCGAGCCCGGGAATGAGATTCGCCGCGCCCCGGGCGCGCGACGCGGACCGCGACGGAAGATCGCGCGCACGGTGAACGTGAATGAACGCCCGTCGTTCGCGGGCGCGGACGCGGACGCGGACGAGGATGGGTTGGAGTACGCGAGGGAGTTTCGTGATGGGACGGGTGCCGTCGATGGGGCGATGGGGACCACGGACGCGCGCGCGCGTACGGGCGATGGGACGAGCGCGACGGTGAGGGCGAGAGATGATTTTACGCACGTTGGGTTCGTGGCGCCGCGGGTGGTGATCGGGTTGGCGAGCGATGCGCTCGCGCGGGGGACGTCGACGGATGGATTCGGCGACGCGGTTGATTTCGTGCGAGGTTTGGCGTCGTCGAACGACGTGTTCGGGGATGTTTTGAGACGCACGGAGCGAGAGATCGATCGGTTGGAGGCGATTGGGGTGCGAGCGACGACACCGGTGCGGGATATCGTGCGGGGGGTGATGCCGGAGGAGGTGTACGAAAAGTATCTCGCCCCGGCGGTGGCGTACGCCGAGGCGAGCGAGGACGAGCGCGGACGCGGTGACGACGGCGAAAGAGGTGCTTTCAAGGACGGTGATTTCAACGACGACGCGGTGAACGAGGCGGCGGACGCGGTGGCGGCGGCGATGGCGGGCATGGATTTCACCGTCGACGCGGACGCCGGGTCAAAGGACCGAGCGTCTTCGACGTCGACGTCCTCGACGTCCTCGACGTCCGCGACGTCCCCGACGTCCGCGACGTCGATGGAAGACACCGTCGAAAACATGGCTGCGGAAGCCATCATGTCGAGCAGTGCGGCTTCGGCGTCGTACGTGGCGCCGGAGGCGACGCCGTACGGCGCCGACGCCCCCGCGGTGCGCAAGAATGGCGCCGCGACAAAGACGGTCGAGACGTCGTCGACGACGCCGACGACGCCGGAACCCGCGGCGGAGCACGCGCCCTCGAAGCCATCGTCCACGAAAGCGTTCGACGCCACCGTGGGATACTGGCGCAAGATTAACGACAAGTGCCCCGACGAGGAGCCCCTCATGGACATTATGGACATGAACATCGTCTTTCGCCAAGCCGCCGGGTTGCTCAACTACTTGCGCATCTCTCGACCGACCGCGACGACGTGGTCCGTCGCCGCGAACGCCGGAATCATCCAAATCGCCGAGGAGTACCCCATCGACGGCGCGCGCGCGGTCACCCCTCGACGCGACTTGCGCTCGGGCGACCAAACCGGAAGCGTCTCCGCCGACGACGCCCGCGTCCGCCTCGAAACCTCCTGGCGCGACGACCTTCCCGGTTCGATGACGGAAACCTTCTTCCTCGACCACGCATCCCGCGAGCTCGTCCGCGAGGTCACCGTCCGCCTCGACACCGGCGACGCGTGGTCCGGGACCTACCGCTACCGTCCCGCCTAGTCGGTGTCACGCGGCGGAACGCTTTCATCATTCGAGCACAATGCACTTCATTGACGTCATCCCACCCCAATCGCCCCTTCCGCACTCGACGTCGCCCACGCGCGCGCGCGATGTCCACCACCGCCCCCGCGCGCGGGACGACCCCGCGGTGGTCCACCGTCGGCGCCACCGTCGCGCGCGCGCGTCGCTCGACGCGTCGACGTCGTCCCCGCCGCCGCCGCCGCGGATGCGAACGACGCGCCGTCGCGTAAAAAAGTCTCCATGGTCTCCTTAGGGTGCCCGAAGAACACGGTCGACGGGGAGGTGATCCTGGGCGATCTCCACGCGAACGGATTCGAGATCACGGACGATCACGAGGCGGCGGACGCGATCATCATCAACTCGTGCGGATTCGTGGAGGATGCGAAGAATGAAAGCGTCGAAGCCATCTTAGAGGCGGCGAAACTGCGCACGGAGAGTGGACGGAGCGATACGAAGATCATCGTCACGGGATGCCTGGCGCAGCGGTACGCGAACGATCTGGCGAATGAGCTGCCGGAGGCGGATGTGATCGTCGGGTTTGAGAATTACGGAAACTTGCCGCGCACCGTGGGGGGGGCGCTCGGGGTCGAGGCGACGCCGGGGGTGTTGTTGCCGCAGCAGGCGCGGGTGCAGGTGGGTGGGGCGAGCCCGCCGTTCAGAGAGGAGACGAAACGGTTGAGAATCACGCCGAGGCACTACGCGTATCTTCGCGTGGCGGAGGGATGCGATCATAAGTGCACGTTTTGCGCCATTCCGAGCTTTCGCGGACGCTTCAGGTCCAAGCCGTTCGGGGCCATCGTGGACGAAGCGAAAGCGCTGGCGGACTCTGGGGTGAGGGAACTGAATCTCATCGCCGAGGATACGAATCAGTGGGGGATGGATCTGCGAGCGAGCGATGGACGCGGCTTGGCTGAGCTCTTGTACGCGCTCGCGGAGGTTGACGGCATCGAGTGGATGCGCATCCTGTACGCGTACCCGTCGTACTTTTCCGACGAGCTCATCCAGGCCATCGCGGACGTTCCCCAGGTGTGCAAGTATATCGATATTCCGCTGCAGCACATTACGAATCTGTCGCTGTTGCGCATGAACAGACCGCCCAGACAGCACACGGAGGATCTGTTGTACAAGCTTCGGGACAGGATTCCCGGCTTGGCGCTTCGCACAACCTTCATCAGTGGGTTCCCGGGTGAAACCGAGGAGGAACACAACGAGTTGATGCAATTCTGTAGAGACTTTAAGTTTGAGCGCCTCGGCGCGTTCGCGTACAGCGAAGAGGACGGGACGCCGGCGATGGAGTACCCGGACCAAGTGCCGGAGGACGTCAGAGCGTTTCGTCGCGATCAACTCGTGTCGCAGCAGCAAGAGATTAGCGAAGATTTCGCCATGAGCCGCGTCGGTAAGGACGTGGACGTTCTGATAGATAGCTGGGACGATGATATGCAGGCGTTCATCGGGCGCACCACGCTCGAAGCGCCGGATATCGATCCAGTCGTGTTCGTCACGGAGGACGAATCGAAAGGCTTGCCGCCGATCAAGCCCGGTCAAATGCGCAAGTGCAACATCATAGGATCGAGTCTGTTCGATCTCGAGGCTCAGCCAATCATGTAACTTCAGGTATCCCGCGATTTAAAACAAACAAACGTTTTAAAGGTCACCAACATCAGCGGCGGCGACGCGTCCAGTCGCTTCGCGATGCGCGTCGGACGGCGACGACGGTTCGGCGTTACGCTCGCTTTCACGCGCTACTACGTTACAACACCGCGCGACGAAAAAGAGTTACGAGCATCAAACGCATCATCGGAAACGACGTCGCGTGTTTCCACGCTTGCGTCGTCGTTTCGTCACGAGCGCGTCGACGCTCATTTTTCTTCGCGCGCGCTCAAACCGTCGCGTCGACGTCACCCCAGCATCCCACGCCGACGTCACTACTTCATGTATTTTTGCACCCCAGGGCTTTGCTTAGATTTCGCCCACCCGTACTTCATCGCGTTCGCCGCCGCTTGTTTCAAATACGCCTCGTTCGTCACCGCCTCGTATTTCTCCGCGCCGTCCCAGCCTCTCGTCAACACCACCGTCTCGTGCTCTCTCCCAACTTTGAAACCGAGCTGGCGCGACGCCGCGCGCGCGGGTTTATCGTACTGCGGGAACCCGTACTGCGCCCGTCGTCAGTCCTCGCTCGAGCGCGTCGCGTTCGGCTGGTTTCTCACCTTGAAAGTCACCTTGGACAGCTCACCCTTGGCGAACAGCGCGAGATCCTCTCGAGCGGCGATCGGGGACTTGACGCGTCACGCGATTTGGTCGTTGGTTTTACGGCGATTCCCGAACGCGTGGGCGACGACCGAGCGACGGGCCGTCGGAGGGGGTGCGACGCGAGCGAGCGGACGCGCCATGGCGCGAGGCGCAGTGCGGTCGGCGTCGACGCGCGGGCGAATGTCACTCCATCGATCGATGGCTAGGAATACGCGCATTATACTACATATCGCCTTGGATACTTTTTGATGACGGACATCGAGCGCGCTCGATCGGTCGTCGTCGCCGTCGTCGTCGCCGAATCCCTCGGCGACGGGGCGTCGCCGAGGGATTTCTATCTAAAGTTGAAGATTGAGAACGGCGAGCTACCCTCGCCGTCGTCGTTTTCGTCCTCGCCCTCGTCGAACGAAAGTCTAAATTCACCTCCCGAAGGCACGGATCTGGGCGATGGGAGCGTCTGCTTGGCTAACTTGCCCACGTCTCCTCGAATGTTCGGCGTCTCCGCGATGAGCTTGTTCCGCAGGCGAACGTACTCCTGGAACGAATCGATCAACCACGGAATGCGCGTGTTCTGCACATCCTTAAACGTAGGTTTCCGTCCCTTGGCCTTTTCAAATCCCTCGCTCCAGCTCGCGAGCTCCGATTTGAGCTTATTATACGCGCTCAGCTCGTACGAGAATTGATTCACCTTGACGCTCGACGCCGCGATTTTCTCCGCCCGCGTGTTCGACTTCTTCATCGCGATCAGTTTCGTCATCCTCGCCGTGCGCGCCTTCGACGCGCTCTCCGTCGTCTCCTTCGCGAACGCCCCGCCGTCGTTCGCGCCCTCCGCGCGCGCCTCCGCCGCCGCCGCGTCCGCCAATCGCGCGTTCCGCCATCGCTCGCGCTGCGCCCGCGCGATCTTCTTCCTCGATTCCACGCTCCGCCTCGACCCGACGCGCGCCATCACCGGCGTCACCGACGCGTCGCCCGTCCCGCGCCGCCTCCGTCCCGAGATCGTCCCCGCCTCCGCGCGCGCGTCCGCCGTGGTCCCGCGCGCGCCCCCGGACCCCCCGCGCGGTCGCGTCCCCTCACCCGCGATCGCGCACACGTCCGGGAACCGCGTCGAGAGCGTCTCCAGGTGCGCGCGCACGCCCTTCAAAGTCACCGCGCGAGATCTCCTTCCG